CTTCATCGCGGTCGTCGGCTGCAGATTATGAGTCATCATCAGTCACCGTGAGTGAGCACCACAGTTCGTGTCTCAAAGTGCCTGCAGCAGCGCGATTACCCTCGCGGAACGCCGCGGCGCGTGCACCCGATGACACCAGACACAAACGCTTGCTCTTTCAGCGCAGCTCTTTCGGGCAAAAAGTAAAAAAGGCAACGACAGAGAGGGGGAGCGCCGAGTACCCACAGTGTTCTGCTAGAGGGCATGGCATACCTGGACAAGGACGACAAGAACCTCAATTCCAGCCTTCGCTTAAGAATACGATATCCATCCGCCCTCGTGCTCACAGGCCCTTTCGCGAGCGCTCACAGTCTCGACTCTTTATTTCGGAAAGTCCGCGGCAGCTAAGAGCTGACTGGTCGCAATTGGCACATGCCCGATCAGACTCCTACAGCCAAGAAGCGCAAAGTACAAATGTCCGGGCCATGCACGTTCACCTCAACAAGCCCGAACCCTGCTCCAGGGGGGCCCTCCGTCCATCATCTTAGGCCTCTTTTTTACTGTGGTTTGATCCACACTGCTTTGGTGCGATGCCGTGAGGGCCAACCAATCGAAAATTCCGCCTATCAGCTAGCCCCCAAGCGACCGCTTATGCAGCATACCAAGCAAAAGTCGAAAGGCAACTTCCGCTGACGTTATTCTGGTTGTGATCCATTCAAAGCTGCTTCAGCGGTGCGGTGCCGCTTTTGAAGCGCTCACGGCGACCCCACAGAGTTCGGCGCTCGAGACCAGCCTTCATCGATGCGATGCGCAGCGCAAAGGATTCAGCTACACATCCAAGCTCACTAGGACGTCTACAGCCCGGGCTGCAAGTATTGCGAAGAGTGCTTTGTGCGTTGGATTCCGTCTTGCAGCCGGCGCCACCTTCATTTTCCGCGCGAGTCTGCGGCCCGACTCGATAGCTTGGATGGCCCAGCTTATCTCGTTGCACTCGCAACCGCTACCCGAATGGGAGCCGCGTCTTTCGCCAGCGCACTCGTCCGCTGCCGAGCTTCCATAATTACGCAGCGATGGTAGCGTGGGGTCCGAGCACGGCATCCTGCGCTTGGTTCAGGAAAAGCCCGACTGCCCAAGCCCAAGCCCTCCGAGTAGAAGTAGACCATTGAGCCTTGGCGCGGCGCGACTCCCATCCTCAAGAGGGCGTGCATGTCCATGGAGGGGCGCCTGCGCAGGGGAGTCAGATTGGCAGCAAAGGGTCTTTCGCGGAAGATCGCCTCGCCAAATCAAGTCGATGGCCGGCCAAGCGGATGGTGCGGTATGTGGTGCAGGACGGTATTCTCATCCGCGAGATCGACCGCGAGATCGAGGCTTAAAGGTTGTCGTTCCAGGCAAGGCAGTCAAATCGGGCGGAGCGGATGGGCGCGAGTCAAGAGTCGGGATCTGCCGGCGTCGTTCACTGTTCAACGCATCCCTTTCGCTTGGCGTCATGCGCTTTCCGATCGTCCTACTCGCTCTCCATGGCGCATGCACACCGGTGGCATGCTGACAGTCAAGCGTGCTCAAGCCTTCATATATCAATGAACGACCACACTCGCTCTCGCGAGGTCGCTCAATTGGACCAAGACTTTCAGCTCTCTGTTCCGCTGGTGAACGCTTTGAGTGTCTCCCACCAGCCCACTGAGAGCCTCGCCGGCACGCACCTGAGACTACCCCCTCCGCGTCATCGACAAAGCGCTGCCCTCCCGACGAGTCAAGGATCTTTAGGCAGCCTCGATGTGGATCCGACCACGGATATGAAGCCCGTAGGGGCTTGCCTCGTCATATTATTCAACTCCCACGCCAGTATCACCTTTCGTGACCGTTATCGGCCCAAGACTGCTGTGCTCAATCATCACCCAACGCCGGCCGTGCAGCCGTGCGAGCTATGACGTGGTGCGCCAGGCATCCATGAGGGTCGCCATCAGAGCGGTCAGTGGGTGCGTGCAGTCAGCCGAGGATATCATCAGGGTCAGCAAAGGTCAGCTGGCTTAAGCCCTAGCTTATGAGTGCTCTATCAGCGAGCCTTTCCGAGTACGGTACGGATCACGAGCGCTGATGATGCTGCTGCTGCTGCTGCTGCGCTGGTCTTGCACTCAGACTGCAGGTCACTTAACGCGCACGCCCTTGATATGCACGAAGATCTGTGCGCATGATTCTGGAAGCCTAACGGGCTGGCCTGCAGCCTTCCATACAGAAAGCGAGCCACCGCTGTTGGTCCGTGGATCCCCACCCGCAAGTCAGCGAGCGAGTCTTAATCCTGATTCGATTTTCGAATTGGCCCCTGGGGTCCCATGGTTCGTCCAAGGTACGCCGCGAGTGCCCTCGTGCGGGGGATTGGCAGGCAAAGCTGCGATAGGCAGTTTCGACTCTTTTTGACTGCTCCAGTACCTCGCCAACGTCGAGAGTTCCTCTTTGAGGCTGTGCGCGCCCCCGCTCAGGAGGGAGGGAGGTGCTAGACTTGTATGCCCGTTGGCGACACCGTCTCCAGTCCTGAATTGAACATCGTCAGTCGTGGAGTTCCTCGCCTTGGCTTGACCTGACCAAGTGTGAACTCAGAACGTCGAGAGCATGCTGTCTGGTTGGTTTTCGCACTCATAAGCGTCGCTGAAGGCGACGAAGCCAACCTTGCGTTCGCCCTTCGTTTTGAATGTCTTCTCACCATTTCTCGCGTGCAGGGCGCACCCAAGCAGTATGGACAGTCTGGTCAAATCTCTCCGCGAATGAAGCAATGATCATATATCGTGTCTTCCTCGGATTTCAGCAATAGTTGTATACAGGGCAACAGACTTGGCCTAGTGCGATGAAGGGTATCTCAATGATTTGAGGAAGAAGGCAAGAGCATAGAATCAGGAAATGCCAAAATGGGGGTTGTTGCTCCCACTTTCTCATTTTTGGGCGGGTCAAAGGCCAGACTCGAAGATTCCCATTAATACGTGGCTGCGACCGGACAAGGATTGCATCACAGAGACGTATTTCAGAAGGCCATCTCGCTTCCATCGGTGGACGCATCAGGCCTCCAAGCCATCGCACCAAGTGGACTCGGGACGGCAGGGGCGTGCGCCAAAGCAAGTCGGCGGTCCTTGAGCGCTGCGACCTCTTCGGGGGACGTCTCACGGGCTGTTTGGGAAGCAGAGTATTGGTTGCGAATGCGTCAGCACCATCACCAGCAGCGCGTTTGCTGCTCTATGAAGCATTCGTAAAAGCGAGCCGGCTTACAGGACTGGTCATCGAGCAATGCACCTGGAGCTGCGCGCGGTGCCATGGAAATTCGACGCTGTGGACAAAATCATGACGTCAGACAAGGGTCACAAGGCGTGTCAGCTACGTTGGCGGATTCTGGAATGCTGTGCAGCTGCATCTGGATGGCTCTACGGCTCACCTTGCGAAAGACGGCTTCTTTGCCTATCTCGACCAAGTAAGGCTCTTCATCCACGCGCCTAGCCTCTTGCAAGCACTTGAGCACCCAATTGACACCTACGAGCAGGGGCTTGGGATCATCGCACGCGCGAAAGTAATGAAGAGTGGCTGGTCTCCCGCTTTTGTAGACGATGTGGCTTGGTGATCGACTGCTCATAGAGGGAACCCTCGACGTGACTTTTGCACCAGCGCCGCGTAGCATCTCTATCCAAGAGCCAGAAGCATCATCTCCATCCTGATCCCTCACATCTACAACAACGTGCAAGCCCCTCAGGAACCTAGCAGATGCAAGTCTGGCTGCATCGCGTGCCGTTTTGGGTGTGACTGGTGTGAATCGCTTGATTGGAGAAGTGGGCGTTGATGCTTCTCCTGGCGCATCTATGTCGGCACAAAACGCCGAATGACCGACACTTTCTGCGTCTTCCACAGAGTCGCGCTTGGCTGGCACGTAAGTGTATGCGCTCTTGCGACGATGCTGTTTCGCTTCGCGCTTCCTGGCCAGAAGCCCCTCCTCGCTAGGTGCAGACGCTGCCTCGTCCTCTTCACCACCGGCACCTGCAGTTTCCCTCTCTTCACGCAAGGCGCGCTCAAAGTATGCCTGGGCAGCTCGAACGGGGTCAGAAGGCCGACGCCGCACATGACGAGCTTCTGCCACATGCTGGCTTATCGCCTCTCTCTCTTTCGTTGCGGCAGGCATGCGCCTGGCCGGCTTGACCAGGCCACTCGCTACATCGATTGAGCTCAGACCACGATTCTGAAGCGGCGATGTAGCGTCTCCAAGCGTGGGTCGAAGACTGCTCAGAGGGCTCGAAGACTCCAAAGTGCTTGGGGCCGAGGTCTCTGGCATCTCGCGCTTGGAAGGGGTGAACAGCTCGGAGTGCGGTCTGGCCGTGGTGCGACGCTTGGCTGCGGCTAATCGCTCAAGGCTGGCTTCGAGCACAGCGAGTGCGCTAGGACTTTCAGAGGCGCGTGTAGGGGTGCGAACGTCCACTGAGCTCGCTCTATTGGCTCTTTGCGACGGCGAGGAAGATATGCTGACGATACTTGGATCGCGCCAGGTCGATATGCTTGCTTGCGAGGGGGCGTCTGCTGTGGGTCCGCGCGCATCGCAACGGACTGGTGCGAGTTGCTGAAGGCGAGCCAAAGTGCGCTCAGGTGAGCGCTTTGGTGGTTCGCTTCCACACTCTTCATTCTCATGTTTCGTCAGTGTGACTCGTGAGACACTTCCGTCCTGCAGCCGTCCGCCCACAGCTCGCTTCCTCGCCTCGGATGGTGAGGTCAGGGGTGAGCTTGAGCTCACCGACGGAGGGGGCGAGTCGTTGTTGTCTGTGATGCGGCCATGAGACTTGGCGAGATTGTACCGCCTTGCTTGGAGGCTACCCTCTCGCGAGTCATGCGCGGAAAGACGAGGGCTCGAAGAGCTTCGTGGGAGAACCGGTCTGCGATCGTGGGGCGAGTCTGGTTCTGACTGCTGGCGAGGCAGGATCGGACGAGCGGAGGGCGACGAGGTCCGCTCGACTTGCCGACCGGAAGCGCCACGAGAGGACTTTGAGGGCTTAGTGATGATGTTGAGCTCGTCATCGGATTCTTCGCCTTTGACCAAGGGCTGCGCGCCCTGCTCCGCGTAGAGCGGCTTTCTGCCTCGTGATCGAGAAGCCGCGGGTACATCTCCCGCCGATTCAGCAGACACAGGCTGAGCTTCTGAGCGCGAGCGTTGGTGCGGTGTCAAAGTGAACGCTTTGGGCTTTGTGGAGAGAATCGTTGGCCGCAGAGCAGATCGCTTGACGGGCGATGGTGCTCGAACGGGCGTTATATCTTGCGTTCTTGGATTTCGAGAGGCTGGCACACGTGCTGCGGGTGGCAATAAGTCTGCTTTGCTTTTGCCTGGCTGAGAGTCAAGATGAGTGTCGCGCAGCCTCCGCGCAGTGCTCGATGGCGCCTTGCGCGGGGAGATAGATAGCTGATCGATGTCGTCGGTCACCCGATCGACAGCAGAGATCTTATTGTTGCTGCCTCTAAGGTGCCTCGCTTCGGGTGTCTTGGTGAGCGGACCGCGATGTGCGCGTCGACTCGGATCAACGATGTCCATTGTCTCGCCTCTTCCCATGTCAAACGTCTCATCTCGTGGTGGAGGAGAGTCTCTGCTGATAGAGTTGCGGAGCGCTTGCTTGCGCGGGTCTTCCACCCGCGAATCGGCCTGCTCACTTGTGCCCAGCCCATCGGAAGCCTCCAGACTGCTTCTGCGGCGGGCACGCTCCAGCAGACGTGCCATTGGATTCGTGCAAAGATCTTCTGGAGAGTCCGACCTTCCCGAAGGGGTGACTGATCTGCCATAAGCACCCCGCAACGCCGTGGATGGCTTTGTTGGCGACCGACGAAGGGCCCATTGGGGCTTGTGAGGAATCTCGCCCGTCACTCTGGCCATCGCCCGAGTCGTTCTGACTGGCGTCTGAGCTGGTACCTGAGACATGCTTGCGACCGTCCCTGCCGAGTGCTGCTGCGTGGATGTGCAAGGATTGATGGGCCGAATGCTGGGTACCTCAGATGCGTGCTTGCATGCTGAGGCCTCTGTAGATTCTGTATGGGATCCGCGGCACTGAAGTCACCGCGTCGCAGTGATGGATACAGCCTCAGGTCAGCCTCGAGTCAGCCTCCTTGACTCGTCGAGCGATGTCGATGACGCGGTGATTCGAAGGCCTTTGAAGGTTTGGGAGCAAGAGGGATGACCACAGGCGGTGAGCAGGAAGGCGAGGCGCGAACAATTGAGCAGATTTCGTCATGGCTTGTGCGGCGCTCACACTCACACTACTGGCTATACAGTCAAACGAGTGTCAGAGTATGGCAGGCATAACAGCGCGCGATCAGCAACAGCAACACGCGCGCCCTCGTGTTGCTTCTCAGAGTCCAAGACGCGCCGGGCACGTGTTCGGTCACGCGAGGTGCGGTGTTGGACTCACGCCCATGGCATGCACCCGCGCGCGGCCCCCAGCAAGCAATTTCTGCGCGGGCGCGTGTATGCGGATGCATGCAATAATGTGTCGCGCCGCGGTGGGTCAGGAAAGCATTTCACGCGTGATGCGTTGACGCGTCGAGGCCGCGATTCTGGAATAGCGGATGTGGTGGATATGGCGATCAACCCTTGGAGACTTCGTCTACCTCCTTCTCGACGTGTAATCAAACATCTCTTGCAAAAGTCTGACACACGCTTGCCCCTAAGGCTCTCAGAGAACTATCACCGCCCCTTGAAGCGCGGAACCCGAGGGCATCCACCCCCGAAGCACGCAGCACCAAAATGGCAACGGCGGTTGAGTCCGCTGCAACGCGGGCACCAGCCACCTACGGCCGCGCTCGTCCAGAGGAGCGCTCGTCCAACACCTCATCCCCCAGCATTTCAAGGCATTCGGAGAGCAGCCCCATGTTTAACAAAGCTGCTCACATAGGTGACGACTCTGAGTCACATTCGCGCAACACCAGCTACGCCGCAGCTGACTCCGACTCGGAACTGGACGGCAGCCCACTCAAGAGCAAAGCATCCCTCTTGAGAACGAGTCAAGTGGGCAGCCAAGAGGCAGAGATGGCAGCTATTCAGGCATCGCAAGAACCGTCAGCCCCTCGAGCTGCTTCGCAAGACTCTCAGCATGTGACTGGAAAGGATTTAGCCGAGGATGACGATGCGTTCCTGGAGCGCTTTCGGCAGCAGCGCGGTCTTCAGGCTCCCAGTCACTACGCAGGCCACTCCTCACAGCCGACAACGTCAGCTCTGACCAGCTTGCCCACCTCATCGTCGTACAATACGCGCGAGGATGGGCGGCGCGAGACTCAAACGCGGTCGTCGGACGACTCGCCGGCAAGTCGCATCCGACCTGCTCGAGGCGGTCTGGCAAGTCGTATGCGCGCTCGGAACGGCGCCAAGGCGTCAGCACCAGTGTTCCGAGCATCCGATGGATCGAGCGGTGAAGATGTGGAAGACAGCGATGCAGAATCCATCGAGCGCTCACCGAGTCCTGCCAAACGGTCACGCTCCAGTGCCTCTCCAACTGCATCGCCTTTCCGCTCGGTAATGCGAAGCACGGAGAAAGAGGTCGCAGAGCAGAGAAAGCAGAAGTTGGCCTCGATGGCCGCGGCAGTTCGAGTCAAGCGCGGGAATGATGCTGCGCTCAATGAAGACACGCAAGATGTGGAGAGCGATCTTGGCTTCGAAAGCGCTGATTCGGATGTCAACGATGAAGACGATGCTCTGGATGCTCTGCTCACTGCTCTGGACCGCAAGGACAAGGGCCAAAGTCGGAAAAGCACGTCGAGACGTGCAGACGCTGGCAGATCGAAAGGCAAGTCAGCGAGTAAGCGATCGACGGAAAGGAACAAGGACCGCCCAAAGGTGAGATGGCGTCGCCTGTGTAGTCGGCGTCATCGCAGCTCACTCGTGAATGATGTTCCTTCGCTTCCTCGCAGCCACTGACCAAGCAGCAGATCGAAGAGACGAATCGTATGGCAGCGCAAATCGAGCGCAACAAGCGTCTCAAAGCGGTCAAGGCTAGTGCCCAGCCCGAGCGCAAGACTTACAACGTACTGGATCTGCTCAAAAGTATCGGTGGCAGCAAGGCAATGTGAGTGGAGCGATGCGCTCTTTCGTGTGCACAAGTTGAACCTGACATGACAAGCCCTGCTCCTCTCAACAGAGCCGCGCCCATCTCTAGAGTTACCTCGCCCACGCGAAGCACAGACTTTGAGGTCGCATCGCGCAATGAGAATCCAGCACATACCATTGGCAGTGCAAGCGCACTGGCCAAACACGCAGCCGGGCCGTCACTTGTTGCCAGAGTCTCGCCCGTGCTCACTATGCGCTCTGCGGACGAGGACGGCGCTTCGCGTCAGCAGTGCGAACACACCGCGCGACTACGTGCCATCAAGGAGAAAGCGATGCGAGCCTCAGCTTTGCAGCTGGACTCGGCCTCAAAGATGACGGGATCCTTGTCATTGCGGCAAGCCAAAGACGAACCTGATTTTGAAATTCTGGGCCCTGAATCCCAAGTTTCTTCGGCGTTGCATGGCAAAAGCTCTCTCGCGTCTCGTGCTGAAGCTGCACATCTCTTTGCCAACAACAATTCGGGCAGCCCACCCCGCCGACCAGAGATGAAGGGCTCAGAACGTCGGCCTTTGGTGACCTTTGCGGACGATGCGTCCAGCGACGGAGAACTTCCCGACGATTGGATCACTGACGCTCAGCTCCAGGCGGCAGGCAAGAATGTTGGTCCACCTTTGGCCATCGCCCAAGGACAGCCGATCCGACCCTCGCCAGCACTTCGAGAGCGCGCAAGCCGGTCAGCCGCCGTTCAAGGTCCGCCAGTGGACATTGAGGAGCCTGAGGCTCCTTCCGCTGCCCAGACCCGGTCAAAGAAGGTCACCGGGCCTCTTGCGGTCACACGCGAGCAGCTTAATGCGACAATGCTGAAGCGTGTTGCTCTACAAAACATCAGCCACAGACACAAGCTGCAGTCTCATTCAGCCAAACGCCACCAGAGCGACACTCCGATGAAGGAGCATGCGTGCACTGGTCAAGACGCTCAAGACGACGCTGTGCGCGTGCAACGCATGATGGACGCTTACACTATGCGCGCTCAGCGTCGTGGTGCTGAAGCTCAAGCAGAGTCTCCTGACAGTGACGAGGATGAAAGTGACGCAGAGTACGTCGAGGATCAGGTTGCGGATGAGGGTGAGGGCAACGGAAACGACAGCCTGGATGAGGACGACGTTCTTGCTCTAGGTAGCGGAAGCGAGGATGAGACTCGGAGAGCGAAAGCGAGCCGGAGAGAGTCGGAGTCCGACGCAGAGATTGGAGCAAACAGCGACAGCGACAAAGAAAACACTCAGCCCACCGAGAGCCAGAATCAATTGGTGGAGGCTCATGCTCACAAGGATATCGACGCCGAGGAGGATGACGACAATGACGATGAGGTGTCCCGCATTACTGGCCGTCATCGCCGGCCTCGTACAACGCGTCATCAACTTTCGGATGATGAAGAGGACGCCACTCGTTTCGGCAGCGTGGTCAGGACACCACTGAAGGACCTCAGCTTTACAAACGGTCCGAGCCCACTGACGGGCTCTCCATCGCCAGAAGACAACTCGGAATCGCCTACCTCCGCCCCCGACAAGCACGCTGGCCTCAGCCAATTTTTCCAACCCACAGCTGCTCTTCTCTCCAACGTGACCGCAAGCAAAGAAGCGAGCTCCACCGGCGATGTCGTTGGCGCGCCAGAGGTCTCAAATGGCGGAGGTCTTTCGCAATTCTTCAAAGAGACGCAAGCGCTCGGCGCAGACTTGCAAGAAGGGACATCATCTCCGTTCGCAAGCAAGGAATTCACAGGTGTAGCACAAGCACTTCAGGCGCAGAAGGAAAGCAAGATGCCATCCGACAACTCTGTGTTGGGCCAATTCTTCACCCCGACGCAAAATGACGCGCCTTTGAGAGGCGAAAGCCTGGACATCTTTGCACGCACTGGACGAGTTTCGAGCACCGCCAACGTACCGGCTAGCGATAGTCTTTCTCAGTGGTTCACAAGCTCACAAGAAGACAGTCAAGGGCCGCCCCGCAACATGAAGGGCGCTGATGCCGAGAGTATGCCGCCGCCAGCAACTGCTGGCGTGGATGCATTTGCAGCTCTGCGACGCGCACAAGCAAACGCAGACTACGGGCCGTCACCGTCGTTCTTGCCTTCTCTTGGCTCGCCACGAGAAGATTCGGAGATTCGTGAGATGGAGCGTGAAGTCGAAAGAAGCCGCGCTATGCCAGAAAGTCCTGCACAAGAGGCGCCAAAGCAGTATATCAATAGCCGTGGATATTTTACTCAGACCAAGCCTGGCACGATGGACAGTCAGATGCAGACGCAGAGCCAGTCTCAAAGTCAAAGCACGAGTCCGGCTTTCAATTATACTGCTGATTTGACCCCCTTCAAGCCTTCGCGCACGATCTCTGAGAACCCGGCGCTACGTGGTAGCCCTGGACATTCGCTCCAGCCACAGCGGCGCAAACGCTTCCGCATAGCTGCTGCAGACAGCCAAGAAGAGGAGAATCAAGATTCGACGTTGGGACCACATAATGACGGTGCCGAGGAAGCTCGAGACAACCGCGCAGACCAGTCCACAACAAAAGGTCGGCAGAATGACGCAAGTAGCGCGGACGAGAGGGAGGGCACAGATGTGGAGTCGTCACTCCATGCTGCCCCTGCCGCTACGCGCGACGCTTTCGCATTGATGCGCGACGCGCAAAAGCTGCCCGAACGACCAAAGATGCGATCCAGCAATTTCGTGGAAGGCGAAGCTGAAGAGTCTGAAGAAGAAGACGCTGTCGGCAAGCGCGGTCGAGGTGGCGGTGGACTTGGCGGTATCTTCGATGAGGACGATTCTGGATCAGACGGGGAGAATGAAGATGAAGACGACGACGGGCAGGACCTTGTGGAGCTTGTGAATAATGAGAACGAAGTGGACGAAGCTGAAAAGGATATACTTGCTCGCGAGCGCTATCAAGAAGATGTGCAGGTCGACGAAGCTGCGGCCATGGCACTTGCGGAAAAAGCTGCACGTGGAGACCTCCGCCGAAAGCGCCGTCGAGGCGAAGCGGGTGGTCTAGAGGACTTGCTAGATGAGGACTGGGACGAAGAGTATCTCCAGCGCAAAGCTGCCAATCCGCGAGCATTCATTGCGAAGAAACGTCGCTTGGAGGGCGAAGACGAGATGGACTTTTTAGGTGAGCAAATTGTTGCCAGTCCAATTCAGCGCCTTACACCGACTCACAAGTTGCTCTTCATGCATGATTCCAGCTCAACGTGAGGAATCCCAAGCGTTTGTCAAAGGCTACTCCGACACCCATGGGGCAGACGAGGACTCAGAGAAGTACAGCTTCCTCGGCGGGCCGGACAGCGACGAAGGCGGCGAAGCCGAGTCTAGCACACGTGCAGGTAGGCCCTCCATGCACCAGGAAATGTCTGATCGCGAGGCAGACTCTGACGATGAGGCGCCATCGAGCAAGGTTTCCTACTTCGAGATCGCCCGCGGGCTCCGCGAAGCTCGCAAGCGCAAGAGAGCAGGACTCATCGACGACGAAGAGGATGATGAGCTGCAAGCTAAGCGCCGCGCCGAGGATGAGCACAAGAAGGAGATGGAGCGTCGACTTCGCAGCATCTATGGCGACGCGAGCGATGATGAGATGGACATGGCGCGTAGCGCTCTTCGTGTACGGGATCGCGTGGCCGCGAGGAAGGAAGCGGCGCGAGCTGGGCGACCCCGCGCGGGCAATGATGGTGGTCAGCGACACATGGCCTTTGGGTCCCGCGCTGTGGATGCTGAGTCGCAAGAGGCCTTGGACGAGGAATCGCAGATCGTGAGTTGCAACGCTGGTCAGCCTGCTACCTTGTGCATTTCGACGTACTGCTTAACCATCGCGTGCGTTGGCTTCCCTTAGGACCGCGCCGTCGCGCTTCTGATGGGCAATGGCAGAAGCAAGACTGAAGCAGAGAAAGCAAGACAGGCTCGCATTGCCAAGGATTTGGGCGAAGAGCCGAGTTGGGGCGCTGTACGCAACTCGAGCTCCGTGAGAAGAGGTGGCAGCGGAGCTGAAGGACGAGCGTCCGTGACGAGTTTTGGAACCAGAAGCAATGGCAACAACAAGATGGGGCTGCAGAGAAATGGTTCGACGAGCAGCATCGCTATAGCCGGCGAGCGGAAGCAAATGCAGAGCTCATCAAGCTCCAGTCGACTTGCTGGCCTTCACAGCGTCATGAGCCGCAACGTCAACGAGTCGCAGTGAATCGTCAATGATGGCCTCTCGAGCCATGTGGCGGATGCGGACGATCAAGGATCGTCCATCGCTCCTGTCATGTGTTCCTATACATGTTCTTACGCGAGCCTTTGTCGTGACTCTCATTCACACGTCATGTATGCGCGCACCCTAGAGTATTTACCATCTTCCTTCATCAGAAACACCGCAATCGCATCACTCGCGGAGACTTGTTGAAATTTGCGTGACCGGTCAACATGTCAAAGTAGAGGCATAGCTCATTGCGTTTCTATGTTAGTCGAGTGCCTAGTCGGGCCTGAACAAAGCTCGATGGCCTCTCATCAGCCACCCGTGAAGCGTATCTGGTGCAGGTCTGACGTCTAGGAAGAAGCTTAGGCTCGCACGACCATCCTTGGCTCTGGGACCTGAGTAAAAGTCGATGATGTATCGAACGCGATGTCCACATCTGTCAACCTCCCAGTCGTGCCTGTCGAAAGGTGCTGAGTAGCTGGTGTATGCGTGGAAAGGGAAGGGGAGAGGAAGCAGTGCGGAGATGAGCATGTCAAATGAATGCGTACAAAGATCTCCTCTCAAGTCACTCACCCAGCTAAGCCTCTCGCCCAGGCCTTCCACGTCAATTCTCCCGGTTTGCCCTTGAACGTGACCAGCTTTGGACCTCCACACTTGTCCTTGGAAGCGGGATCCCAGCCCTGCTCCCACTTGAGAATCTCATTCCACGCCCTTTCGTTGACGGCATTGTGGATCGGCACGACGATGTCCATGTCCGCAGCATTTGGATTTTGGTTCTTGCGAGCCATGGCCGCAAAGAACTGGGCGGGCGATGGGTAGACCCAATTGGCGTCTTCTGCTTGGGCGGATTGGCCTGAGCTGTCCTTTCCCTTGCTGGTACTGGCTGTGGCATCGTGGGCCACCGGGCAGGCATTCTGCCCCGAAGTATCGCTCCTCCCTTCAAGCCACGAGCTTCCTGAGCTGCTCAGACGTGGTATAGACGACACAACGCGCTCGACACTCAACGATGAGTCATGCCTGTCTGCACGAAACGAGGGCGTCTCTTTACGCTCGGTTGCAGAGCTTTTGGACGTTGGCAGCAAGGAGCTCAGCATGCCAGACAGCGAGCTGGCAGCAGGAGGTCGAGCCGCTTCAGGGCCAGCGCTGCTGTTACCTTCGCGTCGCGATTGCTTGAGCCAAGCGTCGCGAGCGGAATGGTCCATCGGACATGCGTCTGCAGAGGAGTAAGGTGGGCTCGCAGGACTGTCGTTCCGAATGGCCGAGGCAGAAGTAGAAGCAGGAGCTCCATCCGCCGTCTGTCCTCCGCTTCTGAATGGCCACATTGGTCACTCGGCGCAAGGTGTTTGTCTAGAGACCGGTCAAGCAGTTCCGCACCGATGGCAGGCGGATTTTGATGTGGCTGGCGGATTTTGAAGAGGGAAGGAAGCAAGCTGGTGTTTGGGACAAACGTGATTTCAAAGCCTTTTGGATTTGACAGAAGCGCCCTGCGTGCTGCAGTGCTTTGACGTTCACGTGATTCTGCCGGCCGGTATAGCGAAGCGCGGCCAATCCATGCATCAAGCACGCACGCGCCGCATTGGGCGCTTCTGATGTGCCGCCCGCGTGAACGCACCGCGTAAATTTGGGCAACGTGACTCATGCCCGTGCCCTACCATCCCGACCTCATCTTCGCGCGCCAATCAAAGTCCCAATCGCCCAGTCCTCGCTGCTCCTCAAACCCACGCGCGTCCGCCCCTCGACCATTCGCAGCATGACCCTCACACTCATTCGGTAGAACACCACTGCACTTTTACGCCCGAGCCGACACCAGCGCATCGGTCCAGTCTTCTACGTTTCGCTCTCGCACTCTCTTTGCTCTTCTGACTTCACCCATTTGGCCCAGCACTCGAACCAATCATCCATCCGACGAAGCAGAGGCGCGCAGACGGTACAGCCAAGCAAATATCTGCACAGCCGTTCACTGACAGCTTCTCGCACAGCCAATCGAGCATTGGTCTGCAGGATAGCGACGTTGCAACCGTTTTCGACTTCGTCTGCTTCGCATACAGGCCAGCATCTGCAAAGCTCGCGACGACCTTCGTCGAGGAGGCGTCCCGTCCATGTCGGTGTCCGAACCGCAGCCTCGTCCGAGTGCTGAACCCAAAGTGCGGTACGGGTCTAGCAAGGGCATAGTCGAGAGGGCCTCGCGTCCGGATCTTGCCACGGAAAGGTCTCAAGTGCGGGATGGGGCGAGGGATGCTGCGCCACCCACACGTCGACCTCAAAGGGTAGACACCCAAGCACTCAAGGCAAAGCTGGCGGCAGCCCTTGGATCCCACGGCGCTGAGTACTGGGCAGCTCTGCTGGATTTCTTCTCGGGAAGGATAGATCGTAATGAATTCGAAAATGTCGCAAGGAGGTGTTTGCAATCCGAGCAAGGTGAGTAGCCAAGGTCCGATGATCAGCACCTGGCACGGAATGGAGGGGCTGTAGACGACGCTCTAAAATCCGGAGCTGCAGCCCGCGGATGCTTCATCTGCACGTGCCAACTTGCTGCGAGGTGCCTGTGCTGTCGCCCTCACTTCACAGGAATGAGTGGAAGTCGGTTGTGAAACGCCGCGGACGGGACTTGTGGATGAACGCTCTTGGGGCGACTACTCGGTCCTCGAAGGCGGGGCCGAATCTCGGCACCTCCGCCTCGTGTAGCGTCGTCGGGGTTTCGAGGCTGACGCGCCGGCTTGCTGAGGGTGAGAGGAGGCGGGCGACTTGATGCTCAGGACAGGTCGTTCCTCGACGGCAGCCCAGCCCAACGTTGGTGTAAAAGAACGAGCAGAATGGTGCTTGGGTGCGACCGAGTCATGTAGGAGTCGGTAGGATGCCGGTAGATCCTAGAGCGCTGCTGAGAATTAAAGGTACAGGTGTAATCCATGCCCAGCAGGTACGCCCCATCGACGAAGCGGTGATGGGGAAAAGGTTGAAAGGAGTCGTGTTACTACGACTCACTTGACTGGCTTCAGACTCGTGAGCTCAGAGTCAGGCGAGGACGTGCCGCGACCTTCGCGCGACGCGTTCTGAGACCGGATGCAAGTCATGCGGACAGACCGTTGAACATGCCGCACGGCTGTGCTTGACAGTGTCGTGTCTGGCTCACCACTGACACAACTTCACACTTTTCCACGGTCCACGCACAGTCGATCTGCACAATAGCTTGCTGATGGGCATACTCTACAACGCCTCGTCCGATGTTCCGTTGCCGTCCGCATCCAAGCGCTCTTACGCATCTGGCGCCCGCAATGGCGGAAGCATGCATACTCTCGATGGTGCTACGCGTAATTTGAGTACGTCCGACGAATCAGAGGATGAAGTTTCTACCGTTCCTCGTAAACGGCTTCGCGCGATGGTGGCAGGTCTCAGTAAGAAAGATCGAGCGCGTCTCAAGTCTGCAGGGAGACCTCCTGCCAGACCTGCGGTCTCTTCAGCCCTCGGTTGGGCAGGTGCCGGAGCGGACATGCTGGAGCGAAAGCGCAAAGAGGAAGAGCGCCGCCGTACGAGAGAAGAAAAGCGTAGAGTGCGAGAAGCCGACACGCAAATTGGGGGTCGGGAATGGCGTGCAGACGCAGTGCAGGACGAGATTGCTGTGGCAGAAGCACGCGACACAGGCTCACTGACTGCAAGTGAGTGTGTTGTGTTACTCAGATTGTTTCAACGTTGTTGAGGAATGCCTGACAGGTGTGAAACGTGATGTGTCTCTAGCGGTACAACAGGCGGTCAATCGAGCGCTCGTGGCGCCCTTGTGCACAGAGGCGAAGGAGCTCCCCGACATGGAAGGGCTGCACGACGCCATGACTCTTGCTGCAGTCAAATCTGGTGTGGGTGGGGGAGCAGCACCCCGCGCTGCGGCTTTGCTACTCACAGCGCTACACGGCCATCTGCAAAATGTCGCGAGCGGTTTGATTGGGGCCGTGCGATCTGATCGAGCGGGGGGCATCCGCACCTCTGGGCACGCTCCAGCGGCAGCCACGGCCAGGGCTCACGCACGGGACGGTGTAGAAGCTGCGAGCACAACACATCAAAGCGCACGGAGTGCAAGAGGAGCTTCAGATGGGCGTGAAGCCACGTCAAACACGAATGCCGGCTCAACCACTGCACGCGAACGATCGGGCTACGGGGCTTATCTGGCACCGCCCTCGCCACGTCTACCTCTGCGAAATGTGCCTTCCAATCTTTCCTCGCGCACTGCGTCTACTGCTCTCGCCGCCAGCAGTGCTGCGGACAACAGCGCAGTCAGCTTCGTCAGCACTGCGCCAACGTCTCACGCAGCTGACGGCAGATCTGAGGCAGATGACGACGACGAGATGGAAGTGGACGAAGACCGCGTCGGAAGCGCCAACATGGTGCGCAAGTACTCCAATGCATCGAGCGGAAGTGCAAAGTCTGTTGAGAACGCCTTGTCGGCAGCTCACCCTTCAAACTTGCGCCTTCGCGATTTGGCGTTCATGCTTCAATTGACGCCTCAGGTCTCTGTGGAAACTCTGGGGCAGGGCGCCGCTGCTCGTCTACTTAATGCCGATTCTTTGGATGTGTCGCATGACGACCACGACGACTCGGGAATCGCCTGGACCAACGGCGGGCTCGCGAGGCTGCCTGCCGAAGAAGGCTACGACGAGCTGATGAGCGATGCCCTGAGGCAAGCAGCAACTTCGAAGCTCTCAGACAGCCGAGTGCTTTACGGCTCTGGCGCGGGCTCAAAATCGCCGCGAGCCAAGTACGTCGTCGACTCATCTTCCACATATCGCTTGTTTCACCGACCGGATGTGGTTGAGAACCACGCGACAAGGCCTGGATCCAAAAGGAGCAAAGGGAGTCATTTCGCGGTTCAACAGGCGTCGTGGCAAGATGAAAAGCGCGACGAAGATTCCAATGTTCCAAGACGCTCTTCGACTGCCAGCGGTGCAGACCGTCAAGGTTCAACGTCGGCAGGCGGTGCAAGCGGCGACGATGCTCGCAGACGCATGACCGATCCTATGTTCGACGTCGTCGATGCAGTAAGACTGCTGGGTCCTTTTGCAGATTAGCTGCAGCCAGTCATCGTCTCCCTCTCTTTTGGCTTCGGAATAATCTCGAGCTCCCATCTATCCTCTTTTGCACGCGAGTCTTTTGGCGCGTAGCCTCAAAGCCCTAACCCTGTGATACAGTCATCCATGTAGGTCCTAGCAGAGAAAGTCGTCGGCCCAGTCTAGCTGATGCGTGGGCACCGAAATGTAGCTTCAGTTCAGCCACTTAATTTCGCCCTTTCGCCCTTCCACATCCTCCTATAATCTGTTACCAACGACCACACCTTTCGTTAAAGCATGCTGCTTTCGTGGTCGACTATTGGAGTATGCCAGAAGTTGTTGTGGGACAGACCACTTTGACTCTTGACTGCATGCTCGGCTCAGCGTCATGAGGGCGCGGTGGAAGCGGGCATCAAGGCCGTCAAGTGCGTGCGTCGGCCCTTGCGAAAGACTCATGATCGCGTGTGCAAGGCTTTCTCGGTCCACCACGACAAATTACGACTTCGCATATTAGCCCCACCGGATCCTCTTCTCCGAATCTTTTGACTTGAGACCGGACCGCGAATCCGGACGACGATGGCGCCCATATGTTGTGGTGTGTGCTGCACGCGCGGGGACAACTGCTGTCCCATGCAGCCAGTCACAGTCGTGATGCTTGCACCCGATTCGCACTTTTGACTCGAGCCTTGCTTGCTCGCTTTTATAATGATCTTTGTGCATGAGCCAGGCGCAAATTGAATGATGGGCGTCGTTGATGCGTGCATGGCATTTAAGATTTCTTGTTTTTGACATCTGATCACCATACAACTCACGCGACAGCCGCGATGCTGCGACCCTTGAATGCTGCCAACAAACCCCGGACCAACGTCCAAGCTAGACGCCGCGAGTCACAGCCACAAGTCACGAGTGAAGAGTGCACTCGCCTGCGCTCACGACTCGACGTGGCTGGCGGTTCTCGATCGAGAGTCAATTCTCTAATCATTCAAGAGGAGGCAGAGACTAGCGACCGTGGTGGATGTTGACACGTCGCGCTCTGATGACTCGTGCTTGCAGCTGCAAAGCTTCTCTGAGCCCGGCAATCACCGCAGCGCACCGCTCTCTGCAGAAGGTCCCTTTCCCTGCCCCCAACATCCGAGGCGGGGAAACCGTCTAGGCATCGCTGGTTGCTGCTACTGCTGCGCTCGAGTGCCCGTTCCGCTGGTCCGCAGGATTTCGCCCTCTCCATCGTCAGGCTACCGCGCAAAGGTTTGACGTGGGTTTCTTGAGCAACGCACTCATTCTCTGAGCTCCCTCCAACTCTCCGATACCATCGCCATGTCCAAAGTGCTGATCTACAGCGGACCCGGTGTAGCATCCTCGGCGCTTCTGCACACGCTAGGCACCTTGAAGAGGTTGCTGCCCACGTACGACGTCCAGCTCGTCAGTGCCCAATCGCTGGCTCTAGAACCTTGGGAAGGCGATGCTGCGCTGCTTGTCCTGCCCGGCGGTCGAGACCTGCCTTATGTCGCGGAGCTGGGCAAGTTGAGGAGCATCGTCAGCGCTGGCAGCAGCGGGAGCGCACCGACCTCGAACGCCTCTTCCACAACATCCCCTCCACCACGGCGAGCCGACGAGCGAATCAGAGCATACGTAGAGCAAGGCGGATCTTTGCTTGGGATATGCGCGGGAGCCTACTACTCTTCTGCCGTGTGTCACTTCCAACCTGGAACAGACATGGAAGTGGTCGGCGATCGGCCCGCTCTGCAATGCTTCCCAGGGACTTGCGCTGGTACTGCCTACGACGGCTTCGTCTACGAGAGCGATGCAGGAGCCAGGCTGACCAAGCTCGACGTCGAAGCTTCGCAGCACGGCTCAAGAGACAATCACCCGGCAAGCAGGGCTGGCAGCTGGACATGCGCATACAACGGCGGAGGCGCGTTCCTCCTTCCAGAGGATGGCAAGGCGACTGTGGATGGAAGGCAGGTGCGAGTCATTGCTCGGTATCCTGCCCTGGAAGCAAGAGATGGCATCAAGCCGCAGTTTGCAAGTCAACCAGCAGTGGTTAGCATTGATGTCAGCAGCTCATCGAGTGAAACGTCAAAGAGCGGTGGAAGGGCACTGCTCTTCGGCACGCATCCAGAATTTCCCATACACGCCCACTCGAGGACGATTACGCAAGCGGCAGGATCTGATGCTACGGAAGGAGCGACCAAGGATGGGGCGGAAGGCTTGACAGCGGCTTCCCTTTCTTACCTCGAGAATGAGCGTTTGCGACTCTTTGCATCGACGCTGCAGACTGAGCTCGGCCTCGAGGTGGACCTCCCGGCTTTTATAGCTCCGCCAGACGAGTCTGAACCTATAGCAGGCGCAGCATCGGCAACCCCATCTGCGTCGGCACTCGACACCAATCGGATTCGCCTCACACCGTTGTTCGCAATGTCGAACATGCCTGGTCTGATTGGCAACTGCTTGGCGCTTCTGCATACCCAAGATGCCGATTCAACACCAGCGCAGCAGACCGATCTTCCTCACCTGCTCTCGCCTGATCTGCTGGACGAGTCGTCTCCCACACCTGGGCTAGTCTCGGACTCACACTTCTTCTCCAATGCAGACAGCAACGACTTGCTGCACTACTACTCTGCGCCTGCAGTATCGCACGTCGTCAAACGGGCGTTGCGAGAGGCCGACTATAGCCCTTATGAAGAAGAGGTGCAGGTACAAGCTTCTGGTGCGGATGCCGAGACTGTTGGCAGAGTGGAGACTAGCAGGGAGGTGAACCTACACAAGGTGCCCAAATACATTCTCATATTTCCCGGATCTCCTCTCGCAGCTCCAGGCTCGCTAGCAGCAACCTCCTTTCTCCCCGATCCCAAGACTCTAACCCCTCACTTTGACATGGCAGAATATTTCAGATGCCTGGAGGTATCCCGATCAAGGATATTGGATTCGACAGTAAGCTCACTCGCTCAACTGAGACCAAAATCTTCGGGCTTTGGTGGATGGCCTGCATCAGAAAGCGAGGAAAGGCTGGGGCATTCGATCTTGTACGGGGAGGTCGTTACAAGCACTCAGACCTTGCTCGAAAAGTAAGCACCTCCGGCCGACGGCGGTGATTCGTCGAGTCGTCGCTGTGCTTACTCTTCTTTTTCTCTCTCTCGTAAACCACCCCCAGAAATGCGCACCTCCTGGCTCATTCGCCGCTTGGAGCGACGGTGTTTGCGACACACCAGGTAGCTGGGCGAGGTCGAGGGAAGAACGCGTGGATCAGCCCCCTGGGTTGCCTGCAATTCAGTACCGTGCTTCTCCTACCTCAATCGAGCGCTAGAGGGGTAGTATTCATCCAGTACCTGGCAGCGCTGGCCATCGTCGAGTCCGTCAGATCAGGTGCTCTGGGCCCAGATTACGCGAAGCACCTAGGCCCCAAATTGAGGGTCAAGTGGCCAAACGACGTGTACGCGGACGTAGGGCAATCTCGGAGCGAAGAAGTCGCAAAGCCTCGAACTGGTACCTTCGTTCACAACGGACGCAACTATGCAAAACTTGCCGGCATCCTTGTCAATAGCCAGTTTGCCGGCAAAGACTTCCAGCTGGTACTGGGTGAGTGGTTTGCCACGATTGGGTGCCTGCTTGACGCACTCATACAATCGCTCATTTCTCCTCGTCTGCTGGCTCGTACATAGGCTGCGGCATCAATTGTCTCAATGCTCGACCGACCACCTCTCTGTCCGATTTGATCACCAATCACAACTCTCGCCTGTGTGCTGGTGAAGCCGCGTTGGAACTCGTCTCCCAGGAAAAGCTGGCAGGCGCCGTGCTGGCCACGTTGGAGAAGCTTTGGAGGATTTTTGCCGGAGGCGGCGGCTCCTTTGAGCCGTTCATCCCTCTGTACGAGCAGGTGTGGTTGCATTCGTGAGTGCGCTTCTCTAGTCCTCGAGATGCCCACAAAGCCGAAGCAGCATGGCAGCCGCACCAGCTTGACTGACACGAATCTACGTTACTCGAGCTCAGCGATCAGGAAACCACCTTGTACGACCGCGAGCCGCCACAACGAGCGCGTATCGTGGGCATAGCAGCCGATCACGGTACCCTTCGCGCGGTGCCGATAGAATCAAAGCTGACCTCCACTAGCCCGGGAGCTTGGGGCAACGCAGGAAGCGGTATTGCCGAAGAGCCTTGGATCGATCTGCAGCCTGATGGCAACAGTTTCGACATGATCAAGAATCTCATCAGAACCAAGACTTGATCAAGTCTCGAGCCTGACTTCCTTTACCTTTTACCCTGCATGACCTCCACATCCTAGCCATTGTCCTTGCTTCTTGTCACCATGCTCTGCCACTTCTTGCCTAGCGGTGCCCTTCTGACGTTTTTCAATGCTGAAATGCAGTGATCTCATCACATTTGGTCCTCTGTCACTACAACGCTTCTATTGAGACCGCTATGACTGATCCATAGCTTCGCCAGTAGCGACAGCAGCTTGAGGAGGCTTGCCGAGCTCCAAGACGTCTTGAGCAGGAACAGTGATTACGCGAAGTCAGTAACTGTGGGCCACCAGTGGCGCGCGGTCGCTGATGACACGCGCTCAGACTTACCCTCCTTCACAAGCATCTCCCAAATCTTTTCCTTTGTGATGGGTGTGACGCCCTTGAGGCCCACGCCATACTTGGCCTCCTTGATGCCCCTCTCATTTGGCTTGACGTAATTCCTGAGATACTCGGATTCTTTCTCGGTGATGACCGCCACATCGACGTTGGAGCCGGATCCCAAGTCGTTGAAGATACCAGCAGAAATTGCGTTCACGACAAGTTCGACTGCTGCTGCACGAGACATCTTTGGTGTCCATCCAGTCTCGAATACGGACATTGCGGCTGTTTGCAGGCGGTGAACGAGCAAATCAGAGCGTCAGCAGTGATGCTCGCTGCTACGAATTCGGGAGGATTCGGAATCTCACCTAGAGAACCACTCCCCATGGTCACGTAAGGCAATTTGTCTGTGCTTCCGTGAGGCGCAATGGTGAAAAGCTGGGGGCCAGTGGCATCCACACCTCCAAGCACGAGCGCTGCACCGACGTGGCCTTGGTATCTGAAAGAGAAGGAGTAATGAAGGGGGGGAGCGCATGTATGAGCGGGAGATCCTCCGATCAGCTCGGCACTGATATTGCCGCTCACTGAAAGAGCCGCTGCTTGAGCATGGTCATCGCTGTCACCACCCTTGGCTTGCGGCCCGTGTGGAGTTCGTGTAATTGCATATTGGAACTGATGAGTGCCGTCACAAATTCCGTATCGGCGGCAGTGCCGGCTCCGCAGCACCTGATGTTGTCAGAGATGTAGTGGATCTGAATCAGGGAGATGGGTAGGCACGGATGGTGTCAGTCATCCAGATCGGCAGGTGGCGAACAAGACATTCGACCGATGCTTCTTCCGCTGCCCAGACTTTTGGCCGCGCCTCACTTTTTCGCAGTTCTTGTCCGCTACAATGCTACCTTCCGTAGCCCGGGTGTCTGCTCCTAGAACGATGCCGTCCTCGTACACACATCCGACAATGGTGGTGCCCGTGCTTGTGGCCTTGGGCAAGGCGTGCCCTTGAGATGCCAAATGAGCATTGCGACTGTGCAGACCGAAGTCAAAGCCCGACTTCGAGGCCGTGTACGTAAGCGCCGCTGCCATATTGTACGCTTGTCTAAATGGCGGTGAGCGATGAGATGCAGGTTTGTGTTAGAGACTATTTCGGCCAGGAGCGTGGAACGCTGAGCTCAGACAGGGTCACGAATGAGATGAGCAAGTGGTGAGTGTGGTGTGAGTATAGCGTGAGTGTGGAAGCGTATATGCAGCCCTCAGTATCGGACGCGCGTCCTTAACCCTTGTTGGCCGGTGCGTGCAGTCACGAGAGACGCGCGAGCTGAGTGGGACGCGCACGCTCGGGCCAGCAGCCCTGCAATGAAGAAGTTGCTGCTTGATTCGTGATTGAATCGCTGAGACGGCCGTCTGCCGCCCTCCACGTGGGGGCGATCAGGAAGTGGTGAACATGATTGCAAGCAGCGCGGGCAGCATGCATTGACCATTCAGATCGTGATTCGGCTGGACTCAGACTCGAGACGTTGGGAAGCTGCTGTGGTCCAGACTTGCAGGTGAGCACATGGCTCCAGATGCGTGTTCCACACCACCACGTCCACTCGCATGTCTGGCTCGCTCTCTTGCTCGGACCACGACACCAACGCCTGGAGGCAAGACCTTGACTCGTTCTCGTCTCATCCACATCCTCTCGGAAGTCGGGCCAGTATTGTCGCTGCGCGCACGATCATCTCCAGCTGTCCTTCTCAAGGCGGCCCACCGCGCAATCCGTTCAGATTGCGCTCCCATTCTGAACTTTTGTCATTAAATCTAAGCTTCGCAAACGTTCACCGTTCGCCATGGAGCTGGACTACGGTCCCTCAGACGACATCACTAGCTCGGGAGCTGCCGACCTCAATCCGAGACTTGCGCCTCACGAGGTGTTCTACGGCAAAGAAGATGCGGATGGCATGTCAGGTGAAGAGGATGAGGAGGAGCAGTATGACGCAGATGGCAATCCAATCAATCGAGCAGCGCTGAGGCTTCAAGAGAGGAGGAGAAGCGAGGCGGAGAGGAGAGGTGCGCGCTTCTATGCTCTGCCTCAAAAGCACGGAAGCATCATGCCTGGCGCTCCTGATGAGGAGAGCCTCGTGATGGCCCTGGAGAAGCTAGACTCGGAGCAAGCTGCTGGTGAGTATCAAGGTCTCAGAGCAGGCTCCTTCGCTGTGCAATGCTCACCTGGTGTCCGTCATTATGCAGAACCGGCTCCGACTGTGCCTGGACCGATTGGCGGCGGCCTCGATGTTCGTCTGGTTGCTCTGCATCTTAGCGGATCACCGATCACACAATTATCCACTTCTCGACTCTTTGCACTGATCACGCACTTCGGCGCTGCACCTCTTGGGCTCGAATGGATAGACGATCAAAGCGCTGTAGTAGTCTTCTCCGACGCCAATTCGGCCCTTGCAGCTCTGCAACTCACGACCTCCGAGAGTGGCTCAGACTCCTCGTATCCCTCTCTAGACCACGTCGAAGCAGCGGCTCAAATCCAGCTCCTGCATGAGCGCGGCGAAACTCCGGCAGAAGAGATCCCTCAAGAGCTGGTGGACTCGTTACTGCTGCCTCGCAGAGTGCGCAACTTGCCGTTCAAATTGTACAGCAGCAACGAGAAGGAGACTCTGCTGACCGTTCTCAGGAGTCACAAAGAGGCGGAGAAAAGGCGGGCAGAGCTGCCAGCAGACGCCCCTGCAATCTATGCAGAGATGGCTGCTGAGGAAGAATCCGCGCTGGAGAATGATCCTACACGCCAAGCACTACGAAAGCTTCGTGGTCCGCTCTGGGTTAGATACGCTTTGGAAAGCAGTGACACCAAAGCCGGCAGACGGCGAGGAGAGCCACGGTCTCCAACGGATGGGCCGCGACCAGCAGGAGGCAGCACCAGCGAATGGTATAGGCAGCATGGACGGGATGCGGGCAGAGAAGTGGTGCCCAGGCTTTTGGACATTGCTCCCAAACGCTCGCGTGGGAGGGGCAACGAAGGTCAGAGCATGATCGATGCTATGGATGCAGAGCTTGACGATTTGAGGAAACGGGAAGGGGACGATGACGCTGATCAATACCCCTTGATGAGGCTTGGCTCTCGGATCGACGAGACCTGGCAGCACGACCGATTTGATCGGAACGATCGAGGTCAGCGTTACGAAGAAGGCACTGGTGAACGTAGAAGAGGTCGAGGAGGATCTAACCGAGCTGCTATGGACGCGCTGGATGAAGAATTGGAGACCTTGCACGACAGAAACAGGGACAGATCTGCTAGCCCAGTTCGCCGAGCTGAGAGAGCTTCAGATTCGCCAGCAAGCCACGTTCGTATCAAGGGTCGAGGGGCCATGCGAGCCCCCGGTGCGGGTTCCAGAGGCTGGGATGATCTGGATGGAGTCGGCAGAACAGACATTGGAGGAGACTCGAGGAGGAGAGGCGGGGGTGGGATGCACGCCGATGAGTGGGCTGATCGGCGTAGGGGACGAGGCCGAAGAAGCGGTGGACTCGATGCTGATGCTGGAGCGGATGCCGAGAGGTGGTCGCACAACAAAGATAGAAGAGGCGGGGGAATGTCCAATGCCTCTTCCTTGGCGGAACGATTCGGCGATGGATCGGGAAGACGCTCCAACGGCACCATCCAAAGTGAGGCTGGACTGGACAGACGATTGGCAGGTGGAAGACTGTCGGACAGGCTGCAGGAATCTCTGGAGAGCCGATTCAATTAGCGCTACCCGTCTGCGCTCCCAAATAGGCATTTTTCACCATGTCTTCTCCGAGCCAACTCGCTTCTTACACTGTATTCTCGATGTCACTGGAAGCTCATGACTTCACTTCGGGGCACTCTCTATGTGCGCTTTGCGAGCCAGCCTTACCGCACATACGGCCCCTTACCTAGCGATCCGGCTCGCGAGCTTCAAGGACTCTCGTTCAGCTTATTAGGCTCGTCTGCGCGCTACGTGAGCAGGAGCTCTGTCACGAGTGATGCTCGTGATCCAGATGCCTGGATGGTAACGTACCTTGCGTATGGCCAGACGCAACGCGGGGCAAGCTTTTGCCTCCTAGTCACGAGCCAGTGTGCTGACCGGTTTTTCGAGATGCCCTCTCAATCGATCCTTCAATATCTTGAACAGCCATTTCGTCGGCGGTCTGAAATGCACCTCTTTTCAAGTTTGTGCACTCTGCGCGCGGATTCGTGATTCATCGACTCTCGTACGCGCTAGAGCAATTCGCACAGATCAGACGACGTCTTCACTCGGGATGGCGTTTCGCAAAAGTCATCCATTGCGTTGTACTCCACCCCCGCGTAATTGCAGGTTTCATAGGCACGCCATGCCACCGCACTACTTGACCATACGCTCTGACTTTTTCGTGTGCAAGCACGATAGCATGCAGACCCCACGTTGACAAACGCTCATCGGTGACACACACCCTGGACGCAAGAGAGCCCACTTCCAGCATTGACGTGCAGCGAGCTGCGACGGCGGATGTCTTTGTCGAACGAGACTGTGCTTTGTCTCGATGCGATGATACGTCGATTAGGCCAGAGCATGAGAGGTCATGTACATATGAGCACGTGCACAAAAGGTCGGATCGATTTCGCTCCCTGACGGCTTTTCACCGCTCATCGAGTCTTGCGGTGCTCAGGAGCGTGAGTGACCTCCCAATCTACGTGCACGAAGCATCTTTCCACGCGAGGCAAGCTCTCCAAACGGTCCTGAAGGTCTTGAGAAACATCGTGGGTGAGGCTGAGCGGGGCGCTGCTGTCCATGACGATGTCCACTTCGACGAAGTAATTTGGGCCAGAGTGATAGGCCTTGATGGAATCGATGGATTTGATGTGTTCCGAGTGCAGCATGGCGTTGTAGGTGACCAGCTGATAGAATTCTGTGGGTGCCGACGCTCCGCACAGCTCCTTGAACTCGGAAAAGGCGGTGCGCGTCCAGACCACCACGATGCCGATGGAGATGATGATGGCGCCCAATGGGTCGATCCACCACGCGATCTTCGCTCCAGCTGCGGCAGTGAAGATACCAAACCCATTGATCCACTGCGGCGCAGGAAGGCGAGGGAGACTCAGTCACTCTCACGAGACACGCGTGGCATCTGCTTCGAGCAGGACTGAACGCCATCCAGCGCACAAAGCAAGTACTTACCAGATCGTTGCGGCAGTCGACGTAGAGCATTTCCAGCTGCGAGCTGTACTTGCGGAGACCGTAGTTGACGACGGCTAGCGTGAGCTTGGTGGCAAAGGCCACACCTACGGCGACCAACGAAGGAATGTAGAGATCGTTCTCCTCTCCCGCTTTGTGTGTAGCAATGTCTCGAATACTTTCGACGATGAGGATGAGCGAGACGCTGAGCATGATGCACGAGTAGGCAATGTTGCCAGCATTCGTAATCCTCGATCCGCCCGATGGCCATTTCCTCTCGTCCAGCCTTTCGGATTTGCGATGCAGCCAGTTCAAAAAGATGTTGGCAAATGGGTCAAATACGCTGTCGGCTGCTGTGGCGAAGAGGGAGAGGGAGCCAGAAGAGATGGCGGCAAAGAGTTGCAGTCCAGCCAAGACGAAATTGGCAGCAATGTTGATGTAGATGAGCAACTTGACGCTCCTGCCCACACTGGCCATCTCCTCCGCATCTTCCGAAGCGTGCTGATGCATAGGCTTGAGCAGCCTCTCAATGTGCAGATTCTGCTCGTCGTAAAACTCCCTCATTCGCTTTTCCGCCTTTCTGCCTCCCTTGGCTTGACTGGGTCTGCGCCGCAGGTCCGTGTCCGAGACGAGACGAGATCGCAGCAGGAGCGGATCTGCTTCTTCCGTGCCTGGCGTGATGGCACCGAGCACCGTGGATGGCGCAGCCGGTGGGTATGCGGATGGTGCATGGCCAAAGGATGCGCCTTGGCTCAGCTCAGCTTCGTGCAACGGCGTGGGCGCATGAGTGGGCGATGGCCCCGCAAGAGCTGTCCAATCCAAAGTCTGAGCAGTGGCTGATCCTCTTCTGATCTGCGTCTCTGGACTTGGAGGTCTCTCGTGTGATCTAAAGACTGGCAATGGTGCGCTCAGCTCGATGTCGCGCTCATTGACTGGTGACAAGGGTGGCGATACGCCAGGTTGGTGAGCAGCGCTGTCGCCCAGCTCCTCCGAAGCGCTCACTCCAGAGACGCGCGAAACGGCGCTGGAAAGATACGCGGACGACATCGCGGTCTTGACGTTGGGGACAGGAGGGAGATCTGATGCGAAGAGCGATGAGGTGCTTACTCAAGAAAAACGTCGGCTTGTTGCAGGGCCCTGCTGAGACGTGGTGATCAGCATCAGGGATCGATCGGGAGTCGTAGATTCTGCCGCTTGTCAGCAAAAGCGATGATCGCAGCTCTGCTGCTGGTCGCTCCTGTTGGGTCGCTCGTTGTGTTGAGATGGTGTGAGTCAGCGAGTCGTGCTTCGTAATTCGTGATTGCCATGCCTGGCATGACGTGTAAATTGAGCGCAAGACAACGACAACACACAGTCGGCGGGTGGACGGGTAGCAGCGGCAGCGGCAGCGGCGGCGCCAGCGTCCGCCATGCTGACGACCGTGCGCTGATATATATGCAGCCAAGCATCGCACATCACGCACGCAGTCGTTGAGGACAGCAGCAAAGACCGCAAAATCAGGGCACCGCCCTTGAGAAACTAGGCTTAAAGCTTCCGCGAAGAGGCACGCAAGGCCCACGCGCGCGCACTGCCTTGACCGGCAATCTGATTGCTGCTGCTTGCACATGATGATCGGAGTCGAGAGTTGTATACAAACCGCGTGCGCGTGCGCGTGCGTGTGCACGAGCAAAGACGAAAAGGGTTCGGAACGGCCGCGGTGCATGTCAGCCGTTGCGTCGCGGCTCATCCATTCTCAGCAGTCACGAGTCAACCCCAAGAGAGAGGGGGTCAGCTGTACGTGCAAGAGCTGTGTAAGGCGGCAGCATGCTATGCTGAACTTGGCTCGCAGTCAAGAGTCCTGTGCATAGGCTAGTTTGAGTCAGCGGTCACAAATAGTCAAGGCAAGATCAAGCTTACAATTTGAATGCGAATTGCAATGCTTCGACATTCAAGATTCCAGTTGAAGATCTTCTTTCTGCACGCTTCCCGATTTGAATCTCCTTTTGCGCTTTTGCTGTTCCCAGGATGTCTCAAAGCCTCACCGCAGGCGCAAAATTGAGCATTAAACGACACCTTATTCAAGATTTGCAACGGGTTTGAATAGGGCCCCGGCCAGGTCACGTGAGCGACACA